TATCCCTATCCCTATCTCTATCTCTATCTCTATCTCTGTCTCTGTCTCTATCTCGATCTCGATCTCGATCTCGATCTCGAACTCGTTCATTTCTTTCACTTCCTCCTCTGCTCCGTTCACGCTCTTTTTCCCGAACAATTTTATCTTCTCTCCTGTCTTCTCGCCTTCTGCTTCTTGATCTGTACCTAGAAACAATCAGAGAATGAAAATTCCAGAAGGATGTCATTTCTTACAGACTACGTTGTTTCCCAAAGAATTCAAATAACGAGTTTTTCGCTTCACAAACTTCCTTCTAAGATAGATCAAAATAATAATGAACAATGTTGTCAGTCCCAATTCTAATCATAGCTATGAAAATTGAAGTCAAAAAAAGATAATACCGTTTAGTCTCTTTTCTTCTTTTCTTGTTTTTCTGTTCGTTTAATACATCTAATTTTTCCTCCATTTGTTTCAACAGTGAGGTACGATATTTTGCTACTTGAGAAGATATATCATCACATCGCTGAGACTCGAGTTCATCTTGATATTTTACGACTTTGACCTACAGCACATAATTTTTGGATTTACAATATAAAAAGAAAAAAATTAATTCATTACGATAAGGAGAATTATATAAATACAACCTTTTTTTAATAAAAGGAAAACCTGCCTCAATCTCACGTAAGATTTTTCGTCTCTCTTCATCCATTCGTGAAGAAGATAAGCTTAGAGATGGTTGCACAGTAGAATTTGTTCTGTAGGTTAATTAAAATAAACGAAAAATTGCGAAACAAGAGACTGAATATACTGACTAGAAAAACAAAGAGTTCTTATGAGAAGTCAAATTAAATATGAAAAACATTGAAACAGTAGAACTATAACGATAAAAGAACTAAAAATAAATACTAAAACAAGCTCTGAAATAAAACATACCTTTCTTCTTCATCCTCATCGGGGCACTCGCCGTCTTCACTACCATTTTTATCATCATCAATTGGAGCACCATCAATATCATTTTCCGGATCAACTTTATCTACCGTGATTTCATCATCCTTACCATTTTCCAGCAAATCCCACTTGCTGGTAGTCACTGCCTGACTTGCAACAACAGATGGATCAACCTATGAAAATCAAGGACAATTTTGAAAAAAAAATAATGATGTTCAAAAAACTGTGAGCAGAAATGGAAAAGCAGAGCAAAGATTTCAGAAAATGTCAGCAAAAAATGATGTGTAACCTACAGTATCCCATTGACTTCGTTTGAAAGTTGCGACTTTTTTTGGCTGACTTTCTATGGGTTCTTCTTCAATGGGTATGCCATCAATATCTTCTTCTTCAAAAATTGATTCCTTCTTTAAGATTATTTCTTCTGGACCTTCTTCAATCGGAGCACCATCAATATCATCATCTGGCGCTTCACCTTCCTTCTTAAAATGTTTTCTAGGACTACAAAGGCTCAAAAAAACAGTGTAGAAGAATATAGTTTTTTGACATGACCAAAATAATTTAAGCTGGTCTAAAAGAAGTGAACTGTAAACTTGTAATTAAAAAACGAACAATAGCAAGGCCCAAGAAAATATTTTGCAATTGAATAAGGAAGTCTGTTGGATAAATTGAATTATCTTCCCAAGTACGAAAACATAACATAACACGCTGCTTGAACTGTTCAGCTTTTAATCGTGCCGAAATTTTTTCATAAGTTTTATTTAATTCCTAAAAACAAGTCCGCAGTTACTGAAAGGTATATTAGGATGAGATTGTGATGAAATAGAAGTCTATTTAAGAATTAAAATAGAAGTCTAATGATGATATTCCATTACTTTGAAAATTTCTGGCATCAAATCGCCGATGTACTGCCTATAATAAAACACATCGCGTATTCGAGCAGCGCAATTCGACAGAATGTCAGAAATTAAGTATAACCTAGCAATCTGAAATAAAAATGAAGTAGGAGTTGCACAAATACCTCAGTTCTAAAAAACAAACTTTAACAATATTAAGTGAAAGAAACTGCAAAGACTTGAAGACACCTCATTTTTTCTCACTATTTGAAGACTACTTTTTGATTTAAAATAATGCAATCTCTAAATCATGAATCCAAATATACTCATTCTACCCGAATTATCTTTTATTACTTAAGTAAATGCAATTAGACTTACTTTTTTGTAAAGAGGTGTTTCATCAATTGTTAATGACTCAAGCAGACACTGAGAGATTTCTTTAGCACATGTAGCATGCTCTACACACCAGACCATTGCGTCGGCTATTGAGAATTTCTCTGGTAAAAGACCACGAAGAATGTCCTAAAATCTACCATTTTTTCTTCATCCCGAAATATTATCACAGTAAAAATTTAGAAAAAAAACAATTATGAAACTAATCTCAAGTTCGTCTCGCTCAGCGGTACTTAGTACACCTCGCCATTTTGTCTTGATTTCCTTGGTGTCTTGTGCTTCATCTTCGCTGCTACTGTACTTCCGTTTTCGTGATTTTGCCTGAGACTAGGAAGATAAATAACGGCAAACATAGGTGCACAAGTATGCTCATAACTATTGAAGTAATGTGTAATTTAAACATTAGAAATAAGCTGAAAATCACTTTAATTCACAAAAAGAATATTCCAAAATCTACCATTTTTTTCCCCAATAAAAATTTAGAAGGAAAACAATTAAGAAATTAATCTCAAGTTCGTCTGGCTCAGCGGTACTCAGTACACCAATTTTAAAAAATGTATGCATATGCCATACCGCAAGTTTTTCAACAGGCAAACCGGCGTCATAAGCAGTATGATACAAACATTCCGGCATTCCTCCTGTTAGGATATTCTGAGGTGGTGGCTGCCACCAACTACCTTCATCGAACATTCGAAACTTCTGCAAGCGCCAAGATTGTGGTGTTTCACCTTGTAGTATAGAATACAGTTTCCATCGATAATAAACGTGTGCTGGATGGTGATTATCGAAAAGAAACCTTGAACGTCATAGGGATTATTAATTTGAAGGTTTGAACTGACTTTACTGGAATCACCTAATCCAAACTTGCTGAAGAAAAGACTCAAAACTGCTCTCGCTGCTGAGGAAAACATACCTATAGACAGGGTTATGCCGCTCTCGACCCATTAGCATTGCTTCGAACAACGGCCCTTCACGCACCAAAAATTCGATGGTTCGATGAATCAACATTAGCAAACTTCTGCAACAAAAGAGAGAATATTTCTAACAGAGTAGAAAATCAAGTAATCAAAAGAGTTCATCATAATCCTTTAAAATTAAAGACGTGTTATTTTGAATCAGAAAAAATCCTAACAAACGCGACGTGAATAACTCATTTTCAAATATACGTGGCGAAATGTAGACAAGAAAAACAAAGTACCAAATATATTTTCCTGTAGACATCATGACAACGCAAACGATACCTTAGTTACAAATAACAGTCAATAAATAAACAGTTCGCACAAAACAATTCGTTCTTGTCATAGTACTTGCAACCAACTTTTACAAGTAATTAAAATTAACTTAACGACAGAAAATTAGATTTTCCGACCAACTGTTATTTTACAGTTTAGTATTTTACACCAAAAATTCCGGCAACCAATTGCATGACCTATGATTCTGGCAACTATGTGACTAAACTAATTAAGATTTGACGTAAGTAAACTGAAGTTTTAGAAACGTTAATTTTAAAAATAAACTACTATATTACAGATTCAAAATTCATACAGATGCGTTTTTTAAACATTTAAGATAAGATTGCTATGAATCGATATATATTAGAACTGTCCAGTTAGACATTATGCAATATTAAAAGATGCAGTAAACACAGTATTAAGTGTATACAATCAGCTGCATTCTATGTAAAATCATCTAGACAAAATGGACCAACCAAAGATTTCGAATAAAAGAATGCAAGAACAATGATGATAGAATCAAGTAATACCTTTCTGTAGGGACCACTACCCGAACGACGGCGTTCCTGAGCATCTACAGAACAAAAATGTTTTAATGCTTTCACGTCATCAGGTGCTTTCTACCTTATACGTTCTAACAAAGTATAAAAAATTCAAAAAATTCAATGATACTCTTGAAGAACTAGCAGATAGAAATTAAAACTCATTCTATTAAGGAAATTATACTACAAAAAATAAATTCCCTATACCTTCTGATATTCTTCCAAACCATGGCCTGCTTCTGGAAGTGTGCCACCAAGACGCGGTAACTGACACTTTTTTAGTAACGCATCTAGATCACATTTTCGAGGTTTCGCATTAAATGGCAAACCAGTGGGCGGATCCGGCATCGCAAATTCCAGTAAAGCAGGTGGTACATATATTGGCTAAAATTCAGGAAATGATGATCTTTAAAGGAGAAATAAAATGCTGAAAGAGATATTGCCATAGAAGGAGAATGTAAAATACTTCATAGGATTACGCTTATACCTCTTACTGAATTACCTGAGGTGGTATGTTGACAGGTTTAGCAAGAGACATTCGGACTTCAGAACCCTTAATAAATTTTCCTTGCATCCCCTGAATAGCTCGTTCAGTGTCCTTCCGAGCCATAAATGCTATAAAACCACATAAATGTTCTCGTTTACGATCTTCTTCTCGTGGGTATAAAATTTTGGCTGAAGCTAGTGGTCCAAACGTACCAAAAGTATTGTATAAGTCTTCAATCTTTATCTGTAATGATATGATGAATTAAAAATAAGACAAAAAAAAACGTGTTACTGAAAAGCAAAATGGAGAAAAAAAAAGGAAAATGCTGCAAATATAGCACATCAGTATTCCAAAGAAACAACTAGCCCTTCTCAAATTAGTAAAAGAAATTTCGTACCTCAAGGGATAAGTTAGAAAGATAAATGTTAGTTGTGCTTGGATCATTATCATATTCTCCAGCACCATGCAAATATGGATTGTCAATGAGTGGTGCAATCCGATCTAGTGCTTCCTTCTCCATACCCATTTGTTCCATTTGAGAACGTAGATGTCTTCGCTGTTCACGTTCTTCTTGCATACTGTCAAGAAAATTGTTCACAAATAGCAAAAAATCGGTAGTAATTAAATTATTTGCACTTGTAGTGCTTGACAAAACTGAAAAGAATAAAAATACCAGATACCTTTTTAATTCTTCTTTGAAAGCTTCCAGATTACTTGTTCTACTTTTTTGCTGTGTTTTTCCAGGTCGAGGCGGACGACCTGTTGTTAAATTTGCTTTCCTAGCTTCCTCCATCATGCGTTTCGCTTTTTCTTCAGCAATTTTTTTTGCTTGTTCAAATGAATTTGCTATAGGAACAATTTTTTTCGGAAGCTCAATTTTGGGGCTGTAGAGTGAAGGTTTAGCACCTGAATCTGCAAATTGCCCAGATAAAGTTGATTCAGAAGTTAAAGTTTCACGATATCATATAACTCATAAATCCTAATTAACTGTTACAAAATCAAAAATCTCTCAAATTATTTACCTTCTATTACTTTATTGGCATTAACAACAGCTGCACGTATAAACGGTTTGCCAGCAACTGAGGCATTGTCTTCGAAAGCCTCTCGAAATTGCTCGTATGCCTTCGTCAATTCAGCCTCTTCTTCTTCCTTCTACAATTCACATGACTTTTTCCAAAATTTCATTAACATAACATGGTCATATATTCTTTATCAGTTAATAATTTAAAGCCAAATTCTTTGAAACGAATATATGAAACAAAAACCATACTAAAGAAAAAGGAAACAGTACTATTACAGTGACAACTTTGCATTAACATATTATTTACGCTTTTTTAAAATTATGCAAAGAACTTACTTTTCGTCGCCTGTTACGATCCATTGTAATGATAATATACTAGACTGAAAAATCCGAATATTAACTAGTTCATGTCACACTTAGGCAACTACATCAGTAAATACAAGTAAACAGCAACTAACAACCTATGAACGTGTGGGTATTTACAATTTTCCACATGTAGTACCGTAAAATACTGGCATGAAAACCACGCATCCCAATGTGGGTTTTCCAAGCGTCAGTTAATTGTCATGTTTGTCAGTTAGTGTGCTATTTTCCCAGGAAGTATTGCTAGCCACATGTATCGGTGATACAGACCTGAACGAAGTTCAGTTTGACGTGCACATAAACCTGATGAAAGTTGCAGAACGACATTCTCCCCACATTGATGAACAAAATTTTACTTCAAGCACCGCCTGTTCCGGATCACAACTATGAGATCGTAATCTTCACTGTTTGTTCTAACTACTAAAAGTTTAGTATTCAGCAATTTGTGACATCACTACCCTTTATTTTATGATAACAAATTACTTCAAATTCCAAAGATAACAATATACAGATCTACAGTTTCGCATAATGTATTAACACCATCACAGCACTAATTAGTAGTTTCTGTGACAATATGCATAGCCTAATTCATATAAAGAACATATGTTAGCTCTAGACAAACATTCTGTCTTACAAGAATCAATAAACGGAGTCTGGCACAAATTTTAGGATAAATATTTGAAAAATGTCAGTATACTGAAATAGACTCCACAACAATCGTGACGTTTACCTTGGACATTTCCATCTAACATTAAAGACACAGAAAACTTTCTTCCAGCCTACTGCATGTACGGAAGAATTTTACTAATTTTCTATGACTACTTTTCCATACAACCACTGCAATTTGTCATTATCAACAATCAGAAGAAGGCAAGGCTGATCTAAGTCCAGTCCACTGATCTGGAGCAACTGGAAAATAAATATCAATGGCATCAGAAAATCTTGTACAATACATTTCTGGGGAAATGACGGTTGGTAAATGCGCTCCAGGTATGGCAACAATTTTTACCCAACTTTCTAATTTCTTGTCAAGAGTATAGGTACGCATGTAATCCACAATTCCAAGGATCAGTTCATTATTTCTTTCGTCAACGCCAACAAGAAGACTGTAATCCATTATGTGCTGAAATGATTCTTTCATAAAAAATGTACGCAAAGGTCAAACGATATCATGACTTCCGTAACAAAAATTTGCATTTCAACAGCAGAAAAACAAAATATCTCATGATTCAACACATTTCAACCTCTTACAGCAAGATGCAAGATTTACGAATATAGCACACGCAATGGACTTAATTGGGCAGATGTCAAAATCATTTGCCAAAACCTGAGCAGAAAGAAAATGGCTGTCATTGCTGATTGCCATATTTAATGCAGCTTTCGAATGTGGGTGCACATAAAGTTGGTTGTTCCAAAGATCTTTCAACAAATTTTCATCTAACAAAACTAAATCAGTCGTTCTTTTCCCTTCTGATGCCATTCTAAAAATTTATTACAAAACAACAAATTAAAATATAATACTCAAAATTTGGACTGAATTTTATCTTTCAAAGGAATTACCACTTTTTAGAGGCAATATAAGCATTTCCTATCTCTTAAAAGCGACACAGTTAATATTTTGTTTCAAACTTCTAGTGCTTTATCTTGATAAGTAAATTTTATTACATAAGCAAACCTATTTCTTTGTGAGCCCTTTAGATCCCACACTTGCTTTATATTTCGACGGTAAAAAAGGTACTCCATTACCAACACATCGATTTTCAATTGTTGCCCAATGATTCTGTTTTTATAGCAAATTCTATACACACCGTAAACCTTAATGAAAACGATCTTTAAATCAAATACATCTCGGTATTATGCTGACAGCCATATTCTGATTTTAATTTTTGATCAGGAATGCAAATTACAACTTATTCAATCCTATAATCAATAAAGAAAGTACGCTACCAGTCCAACTTCTGCACCATATTCAATGTTTTTTTAAAGATCAATTTATTTTCATGCTTTACCAAGCTTACTTTGCAAAGTGTTGTCAATTTATTATCCGTCATTGCAGTGGAAATGTAGCTAAAATAATTGGGACCGAACTTCACAAACGACTGTATTTCAAATCGAGACATTTGCTTGAAAACAAATCGGTCATCCTGAAAAATACCTGCGCGATGTACTATTTTCATCTCTCCATTTTTATAATTCATCCCGTTGGAACGTAGAAGTTTTTCTCAGAAAAGATATATGAAAATAATCTTTACAACCTGTGTGCGATAAAAAGAAGCGCCAGATTTGCCTCCTTGAGGACTCCAACTGTGGGATGAGCTGAGTGACCTAATAAAACAATCTTCACCTTCAACGAACAATAACTTCCGTAACATATGGAACTTTTCAGCATAATAAATCTAAAGGAAATAAAATATTGTTGGCCTTTTTTAACAAAAATAAATAAAATATAATGAACCTTTCAATACAATATGTAAATAATATTATGAGACCTTGACATAATACTGTGCTTTCTCGTCAGTGAAATCAACTTCAATATGTTCGTAAATCCCCCCTGACTCCGATTCACTTCTGGAATTGTCAGTTCAGTAATGAATGAGAAATTGGTTTTTTTAGAAAAAAGATTTCATTCAATCACGTACCACATAAATTCTTGTACACTTGCTCATTTTAATTTATTACAAAACTATTTAAATCTGAAATGATTTGATTCTACTTCAAATGAAAGAACATTTACTGAGAAGTGGCTCTGAAAATGGAATCGCGATATTTTCTTCGTTTCATATTGTACTCTTTTGACGACAAAGCATAAGCAATGATAGAACCAATATCTGGATGCACAACTCCTTTCTGATCAATCATGTCGCGTACAACTACGGCTGCTAGGCCTGCTGAAATTAATTGCAGACAAATTAATTTTGAAATAAAAATAGTCAGTTTTTTTCAATTTCAAAAAGTTTACAACTTTGATCACGCGATAAATGTGGCAAACTCGATATGTCTAAAGAATGTAAATTATTTTTAAAATCAGTAACCTGCTGGGAGAGGCAAGCTAAAATGATGCTCTGAAAGAAAAGGGCTATCTATAGGAATAAGTTCGAAATCTAAACCATTAGCGTGCATGTTATTTGTACAAGATATCTGATCTTCATTTGTTCTGTTTAGTTCCTGAATAAGAAAACAAGGTTTGTCATGGATTTTAATACGTAGAATAAATGAATTTTATCAAAAAATTTGAGCAAAAACATTGCCAGTTTTCATAAGCTTTAACAACTTTTTAACACAAGCAACTTTTTCTCATAACTATTTCTCTATTTTTAATTATCCTAAAGACACTAAAAGCCACAAAAATCTAGATTAGTCTGTATTAAAAAGCACTATGAAAATTTCAAACCATAATTTCATCAGTAGTTGATGTAAAACCAAAATTGACAGTTTTACTATTGCTAGACTTTTTAATTGTACGAATTTGTTGTGTAAAATATTGACACTGCTCATTCCATAAATTGATAGCGTGTTGCAGGATATATCGACAACGACCAATGGTGTCAACTGCCTAAAAATATTACAGACAATTATTGATATTTTAAAATCATACGATATAAATATAAATTATTTGCTAACTATGAATATTCAGGACTGTTTTTTATCTACACTCTTTGCAGTACAATTTTATATGTATTTTCTGTACCATAATAACTGAGTTGTTCTGAACGATACCTGAGTATAAACAGCATCATTTGATCGAATTGTTATCACATCTTCGTTAAGTGCTCCATTCAAATCAAAATAACTCATTGCGGTGCTAAAAAAATACACAGTTTATTGAACTAAAGCAAAAATTTTACCAGTTCACAATTTAAAAAAATCTCACCTGAAACTGGATCGAGCGTCACTACAGATTTTTCTTGCTTGTGCTTGACATGTCGAATATAAACTGTTTTCATTATATTTTGATAAATATTCAACTTGTTCCGACATATTACAGAAAATTTTTGCAGCTATTTGCTGAATCTCTTCCCCTGACTCAACAACAAATTTCCGAGTGAACATTAGTGGTTCAACGGTACAAAGCAATGGACTAAAAGTCACATGAAACGGCTTTATCTGAAAGGGAAGAAACAGTTAATGTTAAAAAACGTGAAACTTTCATGATTTTATTGAATTACTATGTATCAAAGGATTAAAATAATTGAAACTATGAATAATCTCACCAATAACACCTTGAAGCTTGTCACGACATTGTTCAAGGCGAAATTTCGTTCATGCTCGTGAAAGCAACAGTGTCCACATTTCTAAATTAAGGTTATTTCACAATGAATAGTTATTTAACTCATTAAAAGATTTATTTCAAAATCCGATTGGGTAAAATGGTTCAAGACACAGTAACACACTGTTCAGGATTTCAAACAAGATTTTGGAAGTCGCTACAATTAGGTGAAATCAACAATGTGGAAAAGCACAGACTACATATGCTCGGTAACTAACTGAAATGGAAGAACAAACTTCTAAAAATTTCTTTTAATGTAAAACTATGTCCATCATTATCGTAAATGAGAAGCTTAATGAACAAATAATTCTTATCATATCTAACTGATATTTCACATACCTGTGAGAATGTATTGATTTTACAAGTTGCATGAGAACCACTCGCTAAATAATTCAAGTATCGTGCAAAACTTAGCCGACAAACATTATTTGTTAATATTTTCAGTGAGGATGACGATTTGCACCTAAAAAAAGAATATAATAAGAAAAAACTCTGAAAATCAAAAGAAGCCGAATGTTTTTATAACACTGACTTATACAGAGATTCTAAGACAGAAAAGTGATGAAATTTCGCAACTGAAAAGATAGCGAAGTCTTTAAAATAAAAGTACATCGAACTGAAGGTTCTCATACTTCGAACAGTAATGCCAGGATATTAGAGTGTTATTTCGCTGCTCAGACGATAATGTACTTAATTCATCATTTGAATTCACATAATTCTGTGTTACTATTTCCACACACACATTTCTATGTATTAATCTTCGACAGTGCTCCATTACTGGTAGACCACAGGTGATGGATGGACAATGATACGCTTTGTTGAAACAATACCTCAAAAGAGAGATGATTTAATAATTTGCAGAAAAGAGTGTGCTCCTCTTAGCTGCATCTTTTTACTTTCAAGCTTCAAAATGAAGAAAATCCATACTTTTTCAAAAAGTCTCCCAAGGACATATCATTGACACCATAGTATTCCATATTAACAACCCATGGTCGAATACAAAACAACGGTGCATTAGGTGATTTTGCACAGAATGATCCAAAAAGTACAGATATTTGTTGATGAGCAAAAGGATCCAAGACATCTTCAAGCCCTATATTTTGCTTGATTTCTTCACTGCAAACAATATTCAAATCAAATTTTGCAATAAAACTAATTATTAGATGAAAATATTTATTTCAAATAAGAATTTGTCTTAAAATAAACACGTTTATTCAAAAATCTAAATACAACAAAAGCACGTAGGTAACAAGAATATTGATAAAAACATGATTCAAACATGAAAATTTTCGCCGTGAAACTGATAATTTTAAGTTTGACTGTGAAGTGAATGTCACTAAAAATAAGGCTATATAAACACTGATTGCCTACATTTATAGACTTTATTTCCTACTAAAATACAAAAGGAAATCAAAAAAATGCAAACTCACTGCACAGGTTTTAATAGCTGCTTACTGAAATTATTAGCACTAAGTCGAAGTATATGACCAGAAAAAGCTCGGAAAGATGCAACTTCATCTTCATCTATTTCCGTTAAAGTAACATTTTTTACAAATGGATGTACAGTTCTTCTAAACACATGATTTTCTTCAAACTGCGAATCTGAATGGTTCCTAAAAAAGCTTGTGTGATGCCAGCTTTGAAAAAGAAAATAATAGGAGCTTTGAGTGAGAAATTTGCAGTCAAAATGCAAAATTATTAATCTTTTTAAAGAGAAACATGATCTAAAATCTAACTTATTGCTTTCGGCATTTTCAGTCGACAAGCTTTGAATAAATCGATGAAAAAATTTTCTTAATGAACATCGTTGACCCTTTGATGTTTCTAGAAATGGAATTCCGAAACCAATCAAGGGCGAAGGCGAAAGAATGGACTTTCTTAGACGGTTGCAGAAAGAACCCTGCAATTTTTAAACGACGGGTACAATCAAATTAGAATAATTATCGTCAGTTAGAAAAGTAATAACAAATACCATGTTTGTATCCAATTCAGAAGCATTTGTACAACATACAGCACAATTTATGGCAGAACTTGTAAGAATTGTACCATGGCCAGATAATAATTCTACTTCCAAATTATTGGAATAAAATGCCAAAATTGCATATCGTAGTATTTTTTTCGCTGCTCGCAAATCGCTTCTTGATTTACTACGTAGTAATATAGAACAACCTAGTTCTGGTGAGCAACCTCCGAAAATCTGAAAAAAACTGATATTTTAGTTAAAAATATTTTACATATATCAAATGAAGTCAAAAAAATAAGAAAAAGGAAATTATAATTTTATTTATAATTCACCATAATTTTCTCCTGCCCTGGTTAAACCATTGAACTAATATTTTAAATTGAAACAATTCTTACTAAAAGACATTTGGATTTTCCATTCGCCAAATATATCTTTTTTTGTCGGAAAGATGGGCAATATCCAATTTTTTGATGTAAAATTTGTGCATCGAGTGAAGGCATTAAATCAGCACCAGTGCTTCTTGCAATTCGCTGCAAAACTCGAGGTTTAATATTAGAAACCAGAGTTACTCCAGCCTGAAGCAGCATCTGCACAGCTAAGCTAGCCACATTTCTTTCAACAATTACAATAGATGGTCTATGTGAAAGCATTCGTTCTACTTGATTTTGCAAATATTCATTCTCCTGAAAAACTCAAATTTTAAATACGAATTTGACATTAAATCAAATATTTATAAGTTTAAATAAAATATACCAACATATCACACGAAAAACAGTAAACCTAAACAGCAATTACTTTTAGAAATTATGTGAAAACCTGCGAAATTATCGGTTCAATAGAAGAAAGCTTATCATTGACTCGTTCATATTCAAGACTTCCTTCTAAAATTAGAAGTGATGCATTATCTATTTCATCTGGCATTGAATCATGTCGAATACTTTTACTACACACAGTTCCTTCTATTATCTGAAACAGTACCTTAGTTATACTCGTAATTTCTTCAGAATTAAGTAAAAATCAAATTACTTTTATGTCATAAATCTCTCTCATTTATGGGAATGAAAATACCTTCTTCTTATTCGAAGTATATACATATTTTTGTCTCTCAAAGAATCTAAGGTTTCTTCACTCTGATAAGTAACATCATATAAAATTATGAACTGAAAAATAATAAATGATTGCCGAAAGAAACAAAATTTAACTTAATGATTAACCTTTGCAGACGGTTTGTCAACTACGACGTGAAGACTTTTAATATGTGTATGTTTCATGACACTCACGGCTTTACGCCCTTCCATATCAACTTTAACCATAGACGATACGACATGACTTACAGTCCAAATAATATCCCACCATCTAAACTTGAACTTAGTAAATTTATTTTTAAATTTATACAGAAGTGTGATCTGTTATCCTAGATTATTTAAGCAAAAATAACGAAAGTTAGGGTTTGACATAAATTACGAAACAACCATAATAAGTAAGAATCAATAAAGCTAGAAATGATTCTTATTCTGTCATCACATATATTATTTTTACTGAAGAACAGAAAACAATCAACAAAATAAATCGCAAATCGCGAAATAAACTAATAATGAGATCATAAGCAAAAAGTAGGTAAACTAAATGGCATTCTAACTCTGCGGGATCCAATCTCTCACGTTTGAATAGGTGTAGTATCAATTTTTCAGCATGCATTTCAAAGCATCGTTCGATCGTTTCACTAAACTGAGTATCATCTGATGACGAAATCTTTGTCCCTTTCTTATTACAATCCAGATCTGTGCCATAAAAATCTGATTTACTGCTGGTATCTTCCTTACGACAATAATCCATTATAGGCCTGGACTTCTGAAGGAAATGTCATTTTAATAAAACTACCAATAAAAACAAATCAGTAAGACTCATGGTATTCATATAATCCGATTTTAACAAAATATTTGCAAACTTAATCATAATTGAAAATAGTGAAAAGCTAAGTGAAGATATGAGCAATTCTTTTTCCGTTTCGATTCTAATCAAACTACATAAAAATAGTTTTTAAAATAATCCTTATTAAAATAGTTTCAACGGCTGAAAATTATTCTAAGTATTTTGAAAACTTTTCCCAAAGCAAACCAGGTTAGAAGAATGAACGGGCTTTACATTATCTGTCATTTCAATATTCTTCACCCATTCCGGTTCATGATCATCGCCAACATCAAAACGTCCCTGAGCACTGGACTTTTGAATTGAGTTATACGTTGCTAATTCGGTAACAGAAAGTTCAGCAGGACGATCAAGTGTTAATGACGACCTTTGCATAACTAGCTTTTGAAATAACGAATCATCATCACTATTAGTAGCAATTGGTGAATTCAAAGACCAAGAAACTGGTCCTGAAAAAAATTCAAACGTTGAATATTGCCCCATAACTTGCTTCATAAGTGAAAATTTTTCAATCGGTTCATTAAATGCAGTAACATTATTGACAAAAAAATAAATCAAATAGATTTGTTAACAAAAAATTTCGAAATTCCATTTTTAGTCTTTTGAAATAAAAACTCATAAGACCTGCAAAAATCGTTGATACTGAGACATCTGATTCATGAACAGACTTCTGGTCATTACAAGATGAAGTCGGTTTATTTTCCATTTTTGTTTCTATTTGTGGTAAATTTGAAACGACAATTTGAGCGCAGTAAGTGCAGAGCCTTAGATCACCAGTATAACCGAAAATGATCCGAAATTTGGTTTCAAAATAACATACTATTAAACGTTTTCTTTTCAGTTTCAAAAGTAACTTCATTAAAAATAGAAAATCCAATGTTAAAATATTTAACAAAAAAACTTTGATACTAAACGGATCTTAATAAAAATTGTTAAGAATCTCATTTAATAAGCATGCTGGAAAAGCTATAAAACTACTACTATCAGAATCATGAAGTGTTTTATGAAGTTGATCTAGCTTAAATTACCTTACTTATTGCAATACAAATGACACATATGAAGTGCTTTTTCGATATTTCATTATTCCTTTTCTTCTATTTTGCTGTCACTGATTTTCAGCAGTTGAACACTGCTTCATTGCAAGGAAAAATAATAAAATTTTTTCAAGTGTAAATGAAGATATGAATATAGATTGAAAAGGAACAGAATTTCACCTAATAGTGATCCAGGTACTTGAACATCACAACATTTCGAGCAAAATATTTGCCCACATAGGCGACAGTGATGTCGCCTTCTAAAAGCAGTGAAACGTTCTTGACATTCGTAACATTCTCGTCCACTTGAATCTGGCATCCAATACCGCCGAAAATTACTTCTAAATTTATAATTACTCAGTTTCCGACCAAAGCACACATGATTAATTCTAAAAATCGATTGATCGATCCAACATAACAGAATCTTAATATCCAACCTGTCATAATCTAGAAGTGTTGTATTCCGTCCTTTAAACACTGATGCAATACGAGATGATAGCCTTTTCCTTTCTTCAATACCGCCAACGTCGTTTGCTGAGACTCCTCCCGAATCCTTTTCAATTTCACAATTAACATCTATAAAAAATTCATAAAACATACCAAATAAAGACAACCTATGGTTACAAAATTTTATGTCAAATAAGCCTTCAGCTGCTGACTGCTGCAAATGATTTCTGCATAATCAAACAACGATTAGAAAAGAAATTACAAGCTTTTTTGTCGATTTATAAATACAAATATAAATAAATAAATATATACGTCTAGAAAATGCAGAATAATTTATTGAAAAGTTATTTATTAAAAAGGTAAAGCTAAATAAATTAAATAAATAAATAAATATAAATATAAATATATATATATATATATATATATATATA